AGGTCTGGTGTTACTCTGTCCTTCCACCCACAAGACCTGGAGCATTCATGCTAGCCATAAAAATTGTTAGCTTAGAAGAAAAACACTCCAATAAACGAGCAACCTGTTCGGATACCAATTGAGGTGGCTAGCAAGGATCACCTAAAGAGGGTGAATAGGTAATTTAAACAAATCTTGACCAATTTAAAGCGGAAGTAAAAGATCAAGAGCAAAGTCTAAACAATGTTTAGATTTTAAATAGTCTTTGATAGCAATCGTGCAAGTGTGCAATGAAATAAATAAAAAGAGTTTTAAGAGATGAGAAAATCTGCACACAAGACGTATAGTGGTTCGGTTTAGATCAAGCCTACGTCCACTCTCCCATGCTGACAGCCTACTGATTGGATTCCACTAGATGATCAATCAAGAGATTACAACTGTGAGTGATAATCCTCAGTGTATAATAGGTTTCACTATCTCACTCAATCATTATTTTCAGTCTTTCTTAAAGATTGCACTTTAAAGCTCACGAAAGACAAGTATATAGATTGAAGATCGCTCAGACTTTGAAATTTTATATTCTAGATCTCGTCTCTTACTTCTGCTCCTCGGCACGTTGGTCTCATTTTATACTCCTCCACTTTTAATCTAGCTGTTGGACAGTCTCTAGAGGACCGTCTTCTAATCTACCCATTGGACAGAACTGTATCAAGAAGATTGCGTAGCTGTTGAGGGAAAAAAATTGAATCTTCGCTGAATATGATCGCCCATACAACTAAAGTCTTGGTTTCCATAAGTAGAGCTTCTCCGTTTAGAAATATCTTGTCTCGAGATTAATTGCCAGTCAATCAAGATGTTTTGCATATTAAACCGTTGCAAAATAATCTTCAAGATTGAGTCAATCAATTTATTTTAAGTGTGAAATCCAAGCCAGATTACTAGCCGTTATGTATGTTCTGAGTTTGCGTCAAAGTCTAGATAAAGTCTGCTTCTTATCTCACATTCAAAACTTAAGTCAGGATGGGTTGTTCTATAAAGTCCGATCCTTTCGATTCCAACATAAATTCTGAAGTTCATCATGTGCAGTATATAAAGTCTCAACTTTGTCATTTACGGTATAGAATCTAAACTTCTCCTTCTGATTCATATAAAGTATGAACTTCATCTTCTAATGTCTAAATTTCTTATCTTGAGGTAATTTCATAATCTGAACAAGACTGTCACATGCTTCTCTTCCAAGAATAATTTCCTGAATCAAAATACTTCCAAGCATTTGTCGGACTTACAAAATACTCTCGGAACAGAATTGTTTTTCTCTCTAAATATTGTGTTAATAGCTTGATTACATCAGTAATCACTTGCTTACGTGCACGATGGGCTGTTTATTAAGGCCTACTTAGCTCTAAGAGAATTCTCAATTAAACCTGAAAACAGTTTATTTTAATTGATAAAATCCTTTGCTTTCCTGGAAAACAAAACTTATTTCCAATTAAAAAAACAGAGAAAAAAACAAGGGTCGAACTCAATTAGCAGATCCCGACAATGGTGAAAAGAACAGGAACTTGCCTCGTAAGTTCGACCTTGACTTAGTAAAGTTCCACACACTCACTTCACCATCAAAGGACCGTGAAAAAGTCAAGTCAAGTCAAGTCAACTTCTGATTAAGACAAGGCAAGGAACGAAATCCATGTGTTCACAGGGGTTGTCGATGAACATTGGTTTTTGGTCTTGTCTCTCGGACAAGCCTTCGCTTCCAATCCCGGATGAGGTTCGTGCACAAGAAATAGTGTGCACTGCGAAGTCTTTGTATTTGATTACAAGTCAATCATTTATATACCAAAGTAATTCTAGATGGACCAAGTCATTAAGCATCATGAAATATTTCGTACCTCAACCATCCTTCTAATTTTTTGTGGACAAATTATCCAAAAAGTCCTAAATATATTGTATTTTTGTCAATTCAGTCTTAAATATTTTATTTTGTCAATTCAATCCTAAACATTTTTTGCGTTTTGCCAATTGAGTCCATCCAGCCAATTTTAGCCGGAAATTGCTGACGTGGATGCTAGCCATCTTACGTGGTATGGCCGACGCTGACGTGAAATTTTTTTAATAATTTTTTGATTTTTTATTTTCATTTACCTTTTTTTCTTTTCTTTGTTTTTTTTTACAACTCTAGCCGGCAACCATTGCTAGCCACAGGCAAGAGTGTCGCAGCCCTCGCCAGCCCAAGCAATGGTCCGCAGGCAGCCTCACTGGCTAGGGTTGTAAAAAAGAAAAGAAAATAAAAGAATTAGCACTAGGTCATTTTTTTTACTTCGGTTACATTTTACTTACGTTTCTAATCGTCCTGTAATAAATTAGTGGTGACTCCATATTCAATTGACTTACATGTTTAATTAATTAAATCAAAACCCCAAAAATGCAATTAGTATGGGCTTGTGAGTGTCTGTGCTAAGTCTTTAGCTTAGTATTCCATTAGCTTCCCCCTAGTGGTTCACCAACATGGAGGAAGTTAAAAATCGACTTCACCAAGAGGTTATGATATATAGGGCAGAGTTGGGGTGAGTGAGTATGCAAATTGGGAGATTGCAGTGTGAGATTCTGAGAAGTTGGTGATGAGCTTTGCGCTTTTGGTAGTGGAGATGATCTGGGGTTGGTCTTAAAAATGAGAGACTTCTCTAAAAAAGGGAAAAATTACCAAAAAAGTCATAAACCTATTATAATTGTGCTAATTAAATCCTAAACTTTTTTTCGTCAATTCAGTCCTAAACCTTTTGCAATTGTGTTAATTCAGTCTATCCGACCACTTTTGGCCTGCCGGCATTAATGTGGACGCCGGCCGGCTGGCGAATGCTGACGTGACAAATTTTAAAATAATTTTTTATTTTTTCGAATTTTTTTATTAATTTTTTTCTTTTTCTTTTTCCTTCATCTTCTTCAACCTCAAGCCGATCGTCAGTCCGACCAAAGGCTAGGGTCGGCGAGGCTGACCTCGCCGTTGCTAGGCGAGGTAGACCTCACTAGCGGCCGGCGAGGTCTTGTCCTTGCCGTTTGCTTCAAGCGAGGCCAACCTTGATAGTTGCCAGTGAGGTCAAGCCCTCGCCAGCGACAGCGAGGACGGCCTCACCCGACCTCGCCAGTTGCGAGCGAGGACGGCCGCTCGACCTCGCCGTCGCTGGCAAGGGTTTGATCTCGTCAGCAACTGGCGAGGTCGGCCTCGCTCGAAGTAGCTGGCAAGGACGAGACCTCGCCAGCGGCCAGCAGGGCCGACCCCACCAGCTAGAGGTTGAAGAATATGACTATAAAAAAAAAATTTCAAAACAAAAATTCAAAACAAATAAAAAAATATTTTAAAATTTGCCACGTCAGCGTTCACCAACCGGCCAGTGTCCACGTCAGTGCCGGCTTGCCAAAAGTGGCCGGATAGACAGAATTGACAAAATTGCAAAAGGTTTAGGACTGAATTGGCACAATTGAAATATGTTTAAGACTTTTTTTAAAAATTTTCCCCTAAAAAAGAATCTGCAACAATCACCTCCCTTTCTGCTTAACGGCGTCTTCGGTAAAGAATTTGCTTTGGTAACAACATGCTGCAGAAGAGGTTAAACATTCCCGGGCACAACTCGGTAGGCCGAAATTCGTTCCCAAAAGCTTATATACCACCAGAGCATCATAAGCTAGGTGCTTGCACCATTCGAGATTTGCCCCAGTTGGATCGCATAGGCCCATATCCACGAAATTGGAGAACAAACTTGGCATCATAGGAGTCACGTTCTTGATGCTATCGTCCATTCAACTAATTGCGATGCGATAACGAATCCCTTTGCTTCGTAGGTTCTAAGATTGCTTCACACGTTCATCAAAAGAGAAAAAGTTAGTGCAAGACAACTTGTCTAACCCGAGATGTTTCCTGGCAATATCTTGTTGACACTAATCATTGTTAGTCCTTTCCAACCCCAATGCTCCGACCACACTCCGACCGGAGCTTTTTGACTTCAGGGGTTTTGCATATTTTAGTGGAGCCATTTGACGTACACGAAGACCATATCGAAAGACATCGCAGAGCCAAAAATTACCAATGCTTGAGAAGTGTAAGCCGATCTTTCACTATATATGGTTGCAATTAGCTCTTTCTACATGCCGTGGTCCAAGTGCCGGTTGTTTGGGGATTTGTTAGTGAATTCAGCATAGAGGAACGGCCGCAAATTGGACTCCATCGAGGCGTCGCTTTAATCACACTCTGAACTTCCTCGCGCTACGCCTACTGTAAGTACATAATCCACTTTACTCGAAAATTTAAATAACTGCCGAGTATATGTGCATATGTTGACAGACGCTGAAGCAGGAGAAAGAAACTTGCACTTATAAATGTTTGATGCAGCGAGTTGTGCTTGTTTGACGGTTATTCCTATTTCCAAGTTTCATTAGGTCGAAGTCTACAATTTCATATAATAATATGGCTTTGCCCCGGGGTAAATTGTCCAAAAAGTCCTAAACTTATTGCACTTTTGCCAATTCAGTCCTAAACCTTTTAACTTTGCCAATTGAGTCCTAAATCTTTTTACTTCTTACCAATTGAGTCCAACCGGTCAATTTTGACTAGAAATCGCTAATGTGGACACTGGCAAGCCACATGGTGTTGACGTGGATATTTTAAAATAATATTTTAATAATTTTCTGAAATTTTTATGGTTTTTATACCCTCGCAGGCCCTAACTCCAAAACCTAAAATTATTAAAAGTACACCGCAGCAAGAATCTCTAGAGACCTATTTTTTAATTTTATTTAAAATTATTAAAATATTATTTAAAAATGTCCATGTGGCCGGCCGGTGTCCACGTCAGCGATTTCCACCAAAAATTGATCGGATTGACTCAATTGGCAAAAAATGAAAAGATTTAGGACTCAATTGACAAAGTTGAAAGGTTTAGGACTAAATTAGCAAAAGTGCAATAAGTTTAGGACTTTTTGGACAATGTTCCTCTTTGTCCCGTATTGTTTACTCCTCTCAGTCTCTGTGCACCACTAAGGTCTGATTTTTGGCGACTTCCATCGTTTCCCAGAATGTCGCCTTCAACCTTCCTGCACTGGCTTTGCCCTTCTTCTCTTCACCTTGAGAAGATACAGTCGATCTTCCTTCACTGAACCCTCCCAATCAGCTCTTTTTACAGAACGCTGCTCCTCTGTGGGTGAATACAGGTGAGAGGACCAGCCCACAGATGGGATCCAATGAAGGTCCGGCTCTAATCACCATCCTCGCTTTGGCTGTAGCAAGAGTGTAAGCGCTCTAATCCCACTTCTTTTCGATCTCCTCTTGACATATAATGAAAAATAAAATAAAACTTTGCTCCTGTACATGTTCGATATAATTCAGCCTGCTTGTTCAATTCACATTCCTTATTTTACGTCTAAATCAGGTTACAAGTCTGTAATTTTTGTTTCACGAACTCAAGGAGAAATAGGGACACGGAGTCAAGCTCAAGAACAGACGATAGGTCTGGAGAAAAGGAGGAGGTGTTAAGGAGGGACTCAGAGTCAACCTCGAGAACCAACAACGCGTCTCGCGAAGAGTACGATGTGTTGCTGAGTTTCCGGGGACCAGATACTCGCGATGGATTTGCCAATTGCCTCTATCATCGCTTGAGAGACGCTGGAATCCGCGTTTTCTTGGACAATGAAGAACTCCGAGTTGGTAAAGTAATTGGTGGAGAGCTTTTGAAAGTACATGAAAAGTCTCGAATATACGTACCTATCTTCTCTAAGGGTTACGCTAATAGTTCGTGGTGTCTCCGTGAGGTTGCACACATGGTGGAATGCACCTCAACATCATATGGGAAGAAAGAGATACTTCCCATCTTTTACGATGTGGACCCTGACGATGTTAAGCTCAAAACTAAATTGTACAGAAAAGCCATGTCCAAGCACAAGAAGAAGTTTGGCTCTGATGAATTGAAGCGGTGGGAAAATGCCCTTGTTGAGGTTGCACGTGTGAAGGGATGGGATCTTAAAGGCAAAGGGTAAATATCCCCAACTTTTATGATTAATACGCATAGTACTTACATTTCATTGGATGAAAGTTTGTCCCTCGAAATTCTCAAACATAAAGCATTTGGACATTTTATTTAGGATTTGCATTAGGAGTTAATGAAAGCAAGACCAAAACAACCGAAAGCCCACAATAGAAAATAGAAAATTGCTAATTTTTTTAAAGCACAACAAATCGGGTCAAACCCAACGCAGATAAGGCATTTTTCCAATTCATGTCGGGTTAAGCCAATATGATCCGACAGGCATAACCAGCTTTTTACTTAATGATATTCCTCACTTAATCAACTATTTTACTTAACCGTATAACCACAATAAGTATAGTGGTAATCATGCGCTTTTCTGTATTTTTATCTCCCGTGGTAATCACAAATATTGTACAGTAATAAACTCGTGTGATTGTTGATTTAATAGGAGTATTGCAATTTTAAAATTATACTAAGACATGATTAGATTTTTTTTCTAAAAAGAGTGCATAATTAACATTACAAAAGTGCACATGCCATGCATCTATGCAAAAAAGAGAAGTTTAAAAGATTTTTAAAAATTCCCTATTATGAAATATTAGAATAAATAATTTAATGAAAATAAATTATTGACATATTATGAAGAAATTGAAGCGGTGGAAGAAGGCTCTTGCAGAGGGGAATTTTCTGCACTTTTTCTTTGGAAGAAACTTTGTGTGGCCAAATTTTCAAACCTATATCACTGTGTCATTACATTAGAAGTTAATGGAATGCTGACTAGGATTCTGCTCGAGAACCTACAAAAGGTAATGTCAATGAGGTGGGGGTGAAAATCTTTTTCTCAAATCCGCAAAAAACTATGTCAAACCTAACCTACACCCGAAAAATGAAAAAAATACCAAAAAAGTCATGAACTTATCGTACTTATGCAAATTTAATCATAAACCATTCAATCGTAACAATTGAATCCTAAAACCTTATGACAATTTGCTAATATAATCCATCTAGCCAATTTTGACCGAAAATCGCTGATATGGACTCCGATCCTACAGGACACGACCGGCACTGACGTGGACAAATTGTACAATTTTTTAATATATATTTTTAAATTTTTATAATATTTTTTTTATCTTTTCTTTTCTTGTTATCTTTTTCCTTTTCTTTCTTTTCTTTATTTTTTCCCAACTATGGGTTGGCGAGTTCGCCGGCCGATTAAGCAAATATTCAAACTTATAGCAATGTCGCATTACATTAGAAACTAATTGAATCTAGACTGAAATTGTGCTCAGAAACCCTACAAAAGGAAATGAGGCGTGGGTGAAGGTGAACTTTTTTCAAACCCACAAAAAACTACGTAAAACCCAACCTGTACCAAAAAATTTCCAGTTCATTGATTATAATGGTTGAATTCCATTTTTTTAAGTAGTTGAAATAGCTGAGTTATGTATCCATTTGTTCCCTAGAGTCCACTAGTCTATCATGTCTTTGATTGAAAAGAAATTTTCATGCTTTACTGCAGCCAAGGAGAACAAATTGAATTGATTGTTGAAGAGGTTTCCCGCAAACTTAATACAAGACACATGATTGTGACCGAACATTTGGTTGAAGATACTGCTCAAATGGAAGCCATAATGAAATTGTTGGATGTTGGCTCTGGTGGTGTACGTTTTGTCGGTATCCATGGCATGGGTGGTGTTGGAAAAACAACTCTTGCCAAAGTCATTTTCAACAAATTATCTTCTCACTTTGAATGTTGTAGTTTCCTTGAAGACGTTCGAGCATCATCGCAGCCTCATGGTGGCCTTATAGAATTACAGAAAAAGCTCTTATTAGATTTGGCCGGTCATGGGATTGCTAACCAAATTAAAGATGTTGATGGCGGGATCACAATGATCAAAAAATCATTGAGTACTAAAAAAGTACTCATTGTTCTTGATGATCTAGACAAGAAAGAGCAACTCCAAAAACTAGCTGGAAAATCTGATTGGTTTTGTTCTGGTAGCAGAATCATTGTCACAACCAGGGACGAAAGCATCCTGATGACTCAAGTTAGCTCATCTAGTAAAAAGGTCCTCAACCAACCCCAAGGAGTTTTGCGTTATGAAATTCAAGGAATGAGATTTGATTTAGCGCTTCATCTATTTTATAAGCATGCATTTAGAAGTGACTCTGGTATAGAAGAATATGATGCTCTTTCAAGAGAAATTGTTTGTACAGTGGGCATGCTTCCTTTGGCTGTTGCAGTTATAGGATCCAATCTTTTTGACTGGGGCAAAGATTTGGGGCATTCGGATAAAATAGAAGTATGGGATGAGACGTTGAAGAAGTTAAAGGAAGGTCCTTTTGAGGATGTTCGAGATACATTAATGATAAGTTATGAACGATTAGAGAATAAGCATCAAGAAGTATTTCTCGATATAGCCTGCTTTTTTATCAATGCTGACAGATCATATCCGGTTATCATGTGGAAGGATTGGGGATACTTTCCTAGCATTGCTATGAGGGTTCTCTCTCAGAGATCCTTGATCAAAATTAGATATGATAATAGGTTTTGGATGCATGACCAAGTTCGAGACTTTGGAAGATACATTGTTCTCGAAGAGTATCCTCGCAAGTTTTGTAGGGTGTGGATTTGTGAGAAAGCCCTAAACCTACTGGGGAGAAAAAAGGTAAACGGGAACTGCATCTATTATTTAAAGTACAGCAATTTGGTTGAAATCTGCACCCAATAGATGGCTTTGTTTAACGTCGCTTTTGTCTTGCGGGGGTTACATCTGTCTGTCAAAACCTCCGGTCAAAGGTTTCAAAGTTTGAAGAGAGAAAAAGAGATTGCCTGACAGTTGGCTTTATTTTCTTGGTTCTAGTCTATATAAAGTAGCTCTTTTGAAATTTTGAATAACTAAAGAGCAGTTTATGTGTGATCCAGATTATTTTCAATCCCGAATTTTAGAATAAACTAAGAAGCTTTTGAATTAATATGCAAATTATATTTCCCGAACAGTAGAAACCGAAAATTCGATACCTCCAGACTTGAAAATTAGTTTACGTAGAGAGAAAAGGAAACAACTACTTGTTAGGGAAAAAAGTGTGCCATAGTTTTGGGAAGCGTATGTGGCGAGCTCAATCACCGGAGAAATTGTTTGACAATGCTTTTGAGTCCTCTCGGTTGTAGTTCTGTAAACCTTATGTTGCATGTTCAATTGAGTCTTTGATATGCAGAGAAATGAAGACGTTGAAGCATTAAGCCTGACTTCCAATGGCTACAGCCGCAACATTGCATCTGAAGAATTAGCTACTCTACCAAATCTAAGGTTCCTTAGAGTGAAAGGCATTGATTTTTTCGGCAACTTCAAGAATCTTCTTTCGGAGCTAAGATGGTTTTCTTGGGAAATTACGAATAAGGAATTTTATGCGGAGAGTTTTCATTTTACTAGTTTGGTCGTGCTAGACCTTTCAAGAAGTGATATCGAAGATGACTGGGGTGGGTGGAGCCAAATCCAGGTACGATATGCCTTTCTCTATTTGCCTTCTTTCCATTCTTACCGATCATTCAATGCACAGTACACATAGGTAGCATGCTTCCCTGATCTAAAATTTTTTGTGCTAGTCTAACATCTAGAATGGACTACAACCAACTAAACTATAGAATCACATGGAATCAGCATATCATCCCAGCAAATGATATTACGAGCGGAATATCATTGTTGTTCTATATTTCATCCATTCATTGCCGACTGCTTTAGTAATCGAGCCATAGATAAATATGATATGCTTAAAAATCGTACTAGCAAGAATCATTGGCTGTGCTCACAAGTCCAAGTACACCAAGTAACATCTCTTCCATTCTAACAGGATGTATATATTTCCGCTCTTCCATTCTTAGAAATTTTACAACAACCTATAGTATTTTATCTATATTACTAACAGGATGTACATCTCTTTTACTATGACATTTTTAAGACTTGATCACGAAGAAATATTGTGACATCGTAAATCTTTGTAATGACACTTTACAATTTTCTTTTTGGTAACTTAATTACGACTCCACATCATGAATATGCATGATTTAGGGATACATGGAAGTGCCCCATTCTCGTATTGTTGATAAGACCCGAAATAAAGTTCCATGTGTAACGTTTTTAAATCTTGGGAAGATTTAAACTTCAACTGCAACTTGCAAGCAGATTTCTATAAATTTATTGCCAAGAGGAAACTTGTTTATGCATTGTAAATTTGAATAATAGATGGTAAATTTGAATTGTCGTTGATAAGAAAAAACTGATTGGCAACTTTTTAGTTCGATAAATTATCCACAAACTAACAATGTTACCATCATTAAACCTCAGCCAGATTGCCAATTGTTTTTTAATATTGCAAGTGATCCCTTTCATTAGTTAGTAGATTACGATTTGCGTAGATACTTTACTAATAGTTTTGTTTAATTGTTGTAACATATAAACAAAATACTATTTACCATGGTAAAGGGATAATAGATTATGGCCATCGCTTCAATTTTACCAAGAACCAAGTTTTATTTTTCAGTAACATACAAATATAATAATTAATATATCAGGTTAAAATACCTTTGTAGACTACGAATTGTCGTCATTTTTCAGCTGGTAGACTATGGAATTGCTTACATACTTTACTAATAGTACTAGTTAACGATTTTAACTTAGGGTTAATGCCACGGAAAACCCCAAGCTGGTACAGTTGAGAAAAATTTATCCCAAACTAATATTTTGACCACAAAACCCCAAACTGTTATACCCGTGACAAATTTACCCTTAACTAATTTTTTGATCACAAAAAACCTCAAATTGATACACTTGTCACAAATTTACCCTAAACTAATTTTGTGACCACCAAAAACCCTAAACTTGTTATCCCGTGACAAATTTATCCTTGTTAGCAAATCGGTTTGGGGTTTTCGTGGCATTTTCCCTATGGATATCCACGTGGACTTACCACGTCACCATACCACGTCACCATGTGTCATCTACGTCAGCAAATTTAAAGGTAAAATTTGATGAAATCTAACGGAGGGAAAATTTCTCACTAGCGTATCAGTTTGGGGTTTTTGGTGTTCAAAAAATTAGTTTGGAGTAAATTTGTCACATGTGTACTAGTTTTGGGTTTTTTGTGCTTAAAAAATTAGTTTGGAGTAAATTTGTTACGAGTGTACCAGTTTAGGGTTTTCGTGGTCAAAAAATTAGTTTTAGATAAATTTGTCACAAATGTACCAGTTTTGGATTTTTCGTGGTACTAACCCTTTAACTTATGAACCAAAAAATTAGTCTTTTACTAAAATATCGTAGTAGTTTGTTGACACCTATTTTAATTTTTTAATTTTTTAATTTAAGGGTTGGTCGCGACATAGATAATTAGATTTATTTGATTTTACAAACAAACAAACTGTTTTATCACTATAAATCTCTAGTAGCTAATAATTTTCACTACTAACACAAAGATGTAGTTATGAGCAGTAAATTTATAAAGAAAGGACTTGGTAATCTTCAATTACATTGAGGTACATGTTTTCAATCAATGGAAGATTATTCCGTTTTCCCCGAAGGAAGTGTTAGAAGCGACCTAATGGCACTATTTGCAAGTAGACGAGGGAGTATATTGAATTATAAAAATGAGAATAATTACTTACATAAAAATTCTAGCTAGGATGATTGATATGTTTCATTCTTTTTAATATCACATTTTTTCCTGCAGATGACAGAAAAATTAAAAGTTTTGGATTTAACGGATTGCACAAAATTGAGGAGTACACCCGACTTCTCTAATTTCACATCTTTGGAGACATTAATACTTGCTCGGTGTACCAACATAATCACCATTCACCCCTCGATTTCTAAGCTTCAACTTCTAGAGATTTTGAATATCAAAGGGTGTAGTTCTCTTGGGGAGTTGCCTGAAGAAGTCGGTTCTCTACAATCTTTGAAGCATATCGTCATGCCACAAAATTTTCAACCCTTCAAGCTTCCGGAGATATTTGGCAATTTGAAATCTCTGTCGAGTTTTAGATTAAACGAGCACCCTAAAATCCCCCAACTTCCGGACTCAATTGGAGGGGCAGCAAATCTTACTAGCATAACTTTGCGCGGGTGCGTCGGGATAAAGGAACTTCCAAGCTCAATTGGGGAGTTAAAAATGTTGGCAGAGTTGGATGTATCAACTTCAGGTGTAATTGAACTACCCGATTCTATCGGAAACTTAAAGAAACTAAGGGTGTTGAGGTTATGTAGATCGAAGATAAAGGAGTTTCCTCATACTATTGGAGGACTGGAGATGCTTGAAGGCTTATATGCCCACAAATCCTATGATTTGATAGATAAAAACTTGGAGGAAATTGGGAAGCTATTCCATTTGAAGACATTGGACTTAGCATTTACTAGTGTTTCTAGATTGCCTCTAGAGATAAGTCGTCTCCATCTCCAAAAACTTCAAGTGGGTTCAATTGAGCTTCAACATGTGCCGGCTCTTCCATCAAGTTTGAAATTCCTTGCGGTTCAAGCTATGGACTTCTCTCTTGTCCCTCACCCCTCAAGCATCACCGATTTAGAACATCTAGAATTATATAGATTTAGCAATTTGAGAATTAGAAATCACTTTACTAGGTTGGACTATGACTCAAAACTTAAAGCAGCTTTGATGAGGGAGCAACCATCCTATCAGCTTCCATCTCATTTGTTGACCTTGAAACTCAGGAATATTAGTCCACTGCCACATTTTTCCAACTTACTAAATTTGAAGGTTCTGCATGTAATTGAATGTCCAATATTGCACCTACCTATCACTCCAGGGCTAACACATTTGAGGGAACTGCACATAAGTAGATGTGAATCCCTTAAAGAAATACCCGGTCTATCACTCTTGAAGAGTCTGGAGCGCTTGGAACTGAAAGGCTTGAATATGCTAGTTGAGATTCAAGGTTTGGCAGAACTGCAATCTCTGCAATACCTCCTCCTTTCCAGTTGTGATTTACTAGGAAAGTTACCCAACTTGGATAAGTTAGGTAAGCTACAACATCTAGAGCTAGAAGCTTGTCCAAATTTAAGAGCCATTGAGGGTATGGAGGGCTTAGAAAGCTGGGTGTTGGATAGTCGTGGCCGCACAATCCTTGAAAGAATGTTGAATATTTCAAGATCGACTTGGCTTTCCCACAGATTACCTATGTATGATGTGTTCTTGAGTTTTAAAGGACCAGACACTCATTATAGCATTGTCAATTATCTTCACTATTATATGTTACGTGATCGAGTTTCTGTTTATAGTGATGACGATGACTTGAGGTCCAATGAAGGGATTGGGGAAGAGATTCTACAAGCACTCACTAATTCCAATATCTATATACCTGTCTTCTCTAGAAACTACGCTTCCAGTCATTGGTGTCTCCGCGAACTTGCCTACATGGTAAAATGCGCGTCCGAATCAAAGGGGAAAAGAAGAATCCTCCCCATTTTCTACGACGTGGAGATTGATGATGTTAAGCTTGAAACTGATATATACAAAAGTGACCTAGACAAGCATCAGACGAACTTCGACCACAACGAAGTGAAGTCATGGAAAGAGGCCCTCATTGAGGTCGCAGCAATGAGGGGTTTCGTGTGGAAAAATAACAGGTAATTATGCTATTTTGCCACTAAATCATGAGCTGGAAGGTCAATTGAACTTCGACCACAACTAAGTGAAGTCATTCAAAACTTTCCCAACATACTGAGTTTCAAAGTTACTGCAGTGCGACCCTTTTCCATACAAATAGTTGTCCACCCAAGCAAATTCAATCATGTAGAATAAGAAGTAGATCCTTCTAGTTCCTAATATCAAGAGGAACTCTGGGGTCGAACAGAACATAATTGCATATTAGTACCGGCACACATATTTTATTTCTTTTGTTTTGTTTTCTAAGTTAAAGATCTTCAGGTTACAGTGGTTTGAGAAATCAAATCAACAATTAGATTGCCATTTTGATATGCTTTAAATTTTGTCTATCCAACTAAAATGAACTGTCTTTCACTTGTGCATTGCTGCAGCTACGAAGAAGTACTTCAAATAATCATTTCAGAGGTTTTTAGAGCAAGGAAATTGTTAGACGTTGACTCCTGAAGCCTTCTTTTGGTCAGTTGACAAAGATCTTCAGGTTACAGTGGTTTGAGAAATCAAATCAACAATTTGATCATCATTTTGATATCCATTAAATTTTGTCTTTCCAACTAAAATGAATTGTCCTTCAATTATACATTGCTGCAGCTACGAAGAAGTACTTCAATTAATTATTGCAAAGGTTTTTAGAGCAAGTAAATTGTTAGACGTTGACTCCTGAAGCCTTCGTTTGGTTCGGTCATCAAAGAAAAGGTGAATGGATTTGCTATCAATGTACTGAAATTTTCCCCAATTGCATTCTATTTCAATTGTTTGGAGGATCTAGATATTTCATTGATGAAAATGGTTTACGATGCTAATGCTTAGGTGCATTATTGACATGGTTAGCATATTTGTATGAATGAGTATATCGGTGAACTTCCATGCTTTTTTAGAGGGTTGGTTAGGCTCAAATGTCAGTGTTTACAAGGGTGCTATGCAATAAAAGAAAAGGAGCTTTCATACAAAGTTGGGAAAATTTGAATTGCCGGTGGAATTGGATTGGCAACTGTTAAAGATAGTTGATCTACCTAATTTAGTCGTAAATCTAAAAAGATACTGAAAGATAGTTAATCGCTCACTTCTCTTTGAATGTCAATTTACGCACATGTAGTATGAATACGAGTAACGGTGAAACTTCCTTTTTAAAAAGTGTGTCAAAATTATTCCATTACCATGCAGATCTTAGTCTAGTCGCTGTCAGGCGCCTACCTTGAATTTTTGGGACTGTGGCTCCATACATGTTATATCATAGTCTCTCATAAAACTCACATCCGTCATCTCACAGGCTAGCCATATGGATCGTGGTCAATTCATATCAGTCACTTTACATAAATGTTACCGTGACCTCATCTTGATCTTTTATCAAGCGAAATTCGTATGAGAAAAAGAAAGAACGTGCAGAGGAGTTCTTGTTTCAGCGGACGTATAGCTTGTGCTTCGGCTTGAACATCCAACGATTCATGCTATGAGTCTTACATCTGAATTGAGTTGTTTATTTGTAAATAATGCGGGTTTGGACTTAACCTAGGTGTGGAAAATATTCAAGTGTGTGAGCGATTGTAACTCTAATTCTCCGATTATAGTGGATTATTTGCTGCTGGTTCTCCTCGTGGATGTAGGAACCAACATTCGGATCGGACTACATATATATTCGGTGTCCTTTATTGTTTCTCATTTATGTCTCTGATTCTCTCGGATTTAATTGCAAGATCCTATTAATTTTCATGTTAATATTACAAGAGAAATGAACTTGCCCAGGATATGCAAATTAACAAAGACGAAATGTTCAACTAAAAGTCTGGGTAGAAGACTTTTGTGGACCAGTTTTACCATAAATATTTTCCTTTTTTCTAGTACAATTTCATATATGCCTTTCTACTGGATTTCTTTGGCAACATATTTGGAATGAATAAGTGAGAATACGAGTTTGGAACTTTAATGATACCCAGGTGTCGTCATAATCTGAGGTAATAGTACAGATGCGGTTTTCTTTGATCATGCTTTTAGCTTGTTTGCATCCAACCACATTACCATCATTCAAATTTGGTACAGACGGCAGTAAGTGTTAGCAAAGCTGCTTGTGCAAGAGAATGATGTCTCAGCTGAAGCTGAAATTGTCTGCCAGGCGAATCACTGGTACTCCTCTTTGAGATTACCAATTTGTGTAGCATGAGAAGTCGGGGAATTCCTGGTTTTGGAGTTTAAAGATCCCACTGAAAATTCTGGAGAAATAAGACATTTGAGGTCCCTTGACTTCTCAAACTTGAGAAGCGCACAGCAGCTTCAAGAAGAATGGCGTGAGATGCTACAAGACCGTTGACTTCTCAAAGATCAACAATATACTCGTTGGAGCCGTGGGCACTAGTTAGAGAGATGAGACGTAGGAGCCGAGGGCCTGTTTCAACCACCTATTCCTATCTCCGAGCCGTGGGCACTCGTTAGAGAGATGAGACAATGAAGTAGGAGCCGAGTCCTGTTTCAACCTCCTATTCCTATCTCCTGCCACCATTTCAAATATGCCAAAGGAAAAAAGCGTGAGACTCGATATGGAACGGGCCAAAGTGGACAATAACTCAGTAAGTTAATTTAGAGATGTCACAAAACCCTCAAAGGGAGAACTTATGGGATGGGTGTCCACCATGAAATTACATAAATTTCCCAGTCAACATGATTTAATCCAAACTTCAATCAAGCTTCGAAGGGTAGTTTTTTGTCTCTCACTAGAAAACATGTCAATCAAAACAAAATCAATCCATTCAATTTGAACCAGCACAAAAAAAGTGCAAGTACCACTAGAAAACCTTTTTAGCATCATTAACACGGAAAATTCAAGCATCTACTGTCCTATAAGAAATCTCAGAAAGTCTACAATTCTCAAAAGAATATTAGGGCATCGTGTGGATAAAAATTCAGCTACTGAGCAAATTAAATATTCATGTGCTGATCTATCAAGAGAAATTATTCGTATAAGTGGTAAGCATGAAGTTAGAAGTGACTATACTGTGGAAGAATATGATGCTTTTTTTAAGAGAAATTGTTCGTACAAGTGAGTGTTCGATACAGCCCAAATTGAAGTTGTATCCAAATTCCAAAGCTTAGTCAAAAGATTAGTTGTGAAAAATATTAAGGTAAAAGAGAAAATTGGGTCCAAGTGAATGTTCAAGAGAGTCCAAATGGCAGCGACCCGACTTATCACTTGTGTAAAGCGGAACTAAAAACATGATCATCATAAGAATGGACTGGATGAGGATTGGGGTGTAAATTTAAAAAAAAAAGACTTTCTCAAGAGAATTCGGAAAAATTTTGGGATTGGGGTCAAATCTTGGAAAATGGAAAGAATCGCGTGGAGTTCTAGGAAAAACAACAAAAATGGAGGGAAAAGAAAAGGAAGGAAAAGGATCGTGTGGAGTGGATGAGATTAGCCATCTTTCACCAATAATTGTGCGTACGTGAGATCTCTCTGTCAAACCTTCAGGTCAAAGTTCTCAAAAGTGTATGTAAAGAGAGCCAAAAGAGATTGACTGATACTTGGCTTCATTTTCTAGGTCAAGTCTTGTGGAAGGGAGATGGTGGCTTACTAATGCACAGGCGATACAATCCTGGTATTTATTTCATTTTTCGTTACTTTTGTTGTCTTGGCATCCTAGACATCACCACCAAGCAAATGATACTATTCTTTTCTAATGTGCGCTCCATCCTTCCCTTCGAGAAGCAATCAAGCACGATATATTTGATAAAATTTCCTATTCAAATTATGTGGACACGAATTCGGGGTTGGGCATAGATATTTTGCATTGATAGGAATTGGTACGACTAAATCAGCCATTGATAATTCAGGGTGTACTTGCTATGATGTCTCTAGTTCAAAATTGCGGAAGAGTACCAGCAGAAAAAATAAACGCAGAATAACGAAATGACAGAATTTTTTATTAGGGGTTGAATTGCGCAGTTATCGGCAGATTCAATCCCAATCGTTGTGGAACGTACGGACGAGCTATGTAAATTGAAACATGGACATTCATGGGCTATCATGCCTCTAGAGACGGGCTTAAGAGCAAAGTTCGGATGTCAACAGTGGGGCGTCTGTCGCTGTGGGGCTGAGCGTTCGGGTGGTGAGGTGGTGCACGACTGTCCGCGGTGACTGATTCTAGGTGACTAATGTTTGATTTTTGTGGTTAGGGTTTGTGTGTTTGGCGTGTGGGAGAGAAGGGTGGGGTATCTTGGGAAAGAGAAATAGTAAAACTGCAAATAAATGTACAATTCTACTGAGCGGGGTATGAAACTTGTAGTTTGAAAGGTAGAGGCATGTTTTTGGTATCAGGATGAAAGCTCATTAATGTCTTTGGTATTTTACCTCAAGTATTTTAGGCATGCACACAATTTCATTTTAGTGTAACCGTCCAATCATTTTGTTAAATTGGTTACATTGCTAAGTAATCGTTAAATCTGTTTGTGAATTGAACATAATGAATGCGCACTTTGGTTAATCACATGTACATGGGGCGACTGTAAGATGGGTATCCCGATTAATCTTTCTTTGCATCATAATATAGTGTTTTGATCATTGTAACGGATGATCCGAGCGTATGTATGTTTACGACCGGATATATTGACAATTGAGATAGTTAAAATGCTCACGGAATACAATTAGAGGATTCCCTATCTGTAAACATCACTATAAGATTGTCACTTAATCATTATTTAAGTGTAATAAGTATACTACACTGAATCTAATATAGACAAGAAGCACAATCATATTACAAGCACATAGCAGAATAAACTCTAATCTCTGGCCATGTTCGTCCAAGAGGAAGCCTTTGATGATGTAATGAAGATGCTTAGATTGAACCGCACATGAACAAAGGCACAAACCATTCATATTGATATATCTTATATGGTATTTAGTGTCTTCTAATCAATGTCTCGGGAACTTGTGGAAAACCCTTACATAAATAAACAATGACAGTCATATTTATGAATTAGACTAGAGACCCAGTCACCATGTTTCACGTGAAACTGATTAGTGCCTATTTGATGTGGACATCGAACCCTATCGAGGAGGAGGTGCTAGGGACCCGTTATTCTATCCGCTAGGCCCGATCACTCGAGCGAGAGCGAAGAAATTCAAACAAGCTGTCGGCATCATGGTTCAAGATATTTGGAATGGAGACAATCTGGATTCGCAACTTGAAGATTCTAAAGCTCCTTGGCGCAACATGATTACTCTTGGTCCAGCGAATTCCGAAGGAGCTTAGAATTGACGAACTCCGAATTAGCTCAAATTTGGATGGACGCTTGGAAACAGGCCGCTGATCAATACTCCTACTTTAGTAGTGATTGATGACTTCTTTTAGCGATTTGGAGTCGTTTAGATGAACTTTTAGGTCTTTTTCTTTTTTTGGACAAATTTTTTAGTAATTAAGATTATTTTTGTAATTTTAAATCCTAGTAGGGTTAGGATTAGGGTTAGCACCCTATATAAGGTTGCTTATATTTTTCTAAGGGAGGAGGCAGAATTTATATAGAGAAGTTTTCTTCTTGAGTTCTCTTGAGGACTAGATCTTATCAAGACTCCTTTGTGGCGATCGAATTCAACTTATCGAGCAAGATCGCGAATTCTCTTGTTCGTGGCATTATAATGTGGATTGGTTGACACAGGTTCGTCAACAGGTCGCGTTCATACCGAGATTACCAATCACAGGTTTGATTGGGGGTCGAGGTCAGCAATTCGTAACTCACAAATCTTCGTAAAACGATCATCTTCCGCACAGATTCATATCATCTAGTACCAAAGCTGGTTCTACAAGATCTAGTTATCCTACTTTTACTGCTTTTCATTCATCAATCTAGGGTTCATAGAAACTAGGGTTTATAGAATTAGGGTTTCGTTATTAATCGAATTAGGGTTCTGAATTTGTTCTTGCTATGATTTCAATTTTGATTTAGGGTTTTCGGTCCTAGTTGTTTTTTTTTATATTGTACTTGAGTTCATCAAAAGAAAAAAGAAAAAAAAACCAAAAAAAAAAGCAAAGAAAAAAAAAATTCAAGAGGACGACTCTTTTTTTTTTTCCATTGATAGTTGGACCGAATAGAAAAAAAAATTTCAGTAGCAGAAATTGAATCTGAATCCGAATCTAGCGAAAATTTGCTGAATTGCTGAGTTGAGCGGTATATTGCTGAATTTGATCTTGCTTGGTGGTTTATCGATTGTTGTGAGGAGCTTGTGAGACTAGATTCAAGTCTGAAAAAATGAGCTTGCTAGAAGGAAATGAGAGGTAAAAGGCAAGAGTGTGTGAGTTTAATTGAGGGAAGAAAAAGCCAAAATTGAGTTAAACACAAGAGGAGTGACAAACACTTTGAGCGGAAAACGTGAGGGAGTGACTAGTGAGATTTCTTTTATCTCTAACATTTTCTTGCAGGTTTAAAAAAAAATGTCAAGCTCAGGCTAGGGAAGTGTAAATCAAAGGGAGGATCGCGCTCATCCAAGGGATGATGCGATTCTAGCAGGCATCCAGCAATTGAGTTTACAAATTGAAGCACTTAGCAACCGAGTTGTAAGATGTGAGACGAGACTTGAAGATGACCGAGAGCCACCACAAGGGAGGCCACAAAATCAGCGAGAGCCTAGGGCACAACCTAGATGGCAGCGGCAATTTGATGATGCATATGTGTCCGATACAGAAGATGATCGAGA